AGAGCCGCGGGGGTGGGGGTGGGGGGGGGGGGGGTTCAGTGCACAGGGAGGGTGTTTTGAATGAAATCCTCTTGTTGAGTAGTGTTGAGCCTCCGGCACTTGTTGGGAGGGTATGATGCAGGGGGAGGGCACATGGACTACACTGCACTCTGTGGGTGTGGGGTGTTGTATAACAGCCCCTGTCAATGCAGGTCATGAGGCAATCACCATGGTTTGTTTATGTTTACAAGATGCAAGGTGCCAATAAAATTTTTAAACACACAAAGCCAGTGTGGTTGAGTACACACACAGCTCCCACACAGTGGTCCTCTGTATGTGTGTATAAAAATACTCAAAGGTTTAGTCTTGTTCTGTGTTTACAGCAGGTATTAAATATACTTGATTCACAATAGGTGATAGGTAGAGTACTACCATATGTACAGTATATACATGTACAGTGCAAGCATACAGTGTGTCTGTTTGAACACAGTACTTACTCTATGGTGCCCTGTATGTGCCTGTGCTTTCAAGGCCATGTGGGATGTATTATTTCACATTACACCACAGGATTTAAAACTTCACAAGGAAGACCCCCTGGGAGCTGAGCATGTCAATAAGAGTAGTCATTAAGAGAATATTTTAGAAAATAAGAGTATTTATAAAACTGTTCTTAAAAACTCATGTTAAAACAGTAAAAACATTAATAAAACATAATACCGCCAACATATATTGGCATACATATATATATATATAAATTGTTACTGACTGCAATACGGATTTTTTTTTTTTTTTAAAGTCTCCTTGAAGATTTTTACAGTTCTCTAACACATGGTCTGCACATGATGAAGTGATCTCAGCTGCAGTCACTGCTGGGTTTAACGCAGTCAGTGGCGAGAGCTCAGCTCAGCACTAGTATGCCATTGTCTCATTTATAAACAAGAACTCTTATACTGAAGAATAGCCTTTCCATTCTTGTTAAATCTGACAAATACAGTAATACTGGAAACTCAGAGATGTTTTTGCTTTCACTCCTTTTTCATCTTTTAATCGCCAATGGCAAAATGTCTGCTGTGAAAAAGGTCTAATACTCAGTGTCATGGGTGAAATAATTTTTTCAGCGTGGGCAAGAAATCAGCTGCCAAACAAATGAATAGGAAACCATAGATTAATTATTATGTTTTAAAAAATGAAGTTCACAAATATTTTAGTGAGAGACATAAGAATGAGGCTGGGTCTAATGGCCTGGCAGGTACATATGTAAGAAAAAGAGCACTGATGAG